TAATGCCTGCTGAGATTTGGATGCTCATCTTCCTATGTGTCTTACCCTAGCTACTACTGCATTGCAGCAGGGAATCAATAGTTACAAAAGAGAAAGGATCCTGATCTTGTTAACAATGTTTTCCTAAAAGAAATGTCATTTTACAAAGTAACAAACAGTAACTACCATTTGAGTGAAAAGGTGAGTTGTCCTGTCATCCGATTTCAGTGAACTAAAATGCACATCTAGGGGGCCAGTTAGCTCACTTGGTTAGAGCGTGGTGCTGATAACACCAAGGCTGTGGGTTCGATCCCCGTTGGGTCCCCATGTGTTGCCTGATCTAGTTGAGAGGCGTCCCTGCCCATGACAGGGAGATTGGACTAGATGATCTCTAAGGTCCCTTCCAGCCTAGGCCATTCTGTGATTGTATGATTCTATGATTCTATGATACAGCTTGTGCTGAAAAGTTTTGCTCAAAAATAACACGTTCATGAATTTTTAGGAGCAAAATGAGTAGCAGAAGTGCACTTGTTATGTGCTTTTCTTCCACTCTAATTGAATAGCCTACATGCAAAATATTATGTCAGTCCATTACCTTCTATCAAATAAAATAATAATTTAAAAGCTTATTAATAAACAGCAATAAAAAAATACTGCACTTTCTCCCCCGCACCTCTATTTCTACATAATTTGTCAAATTGACTTTTCATCTGCTTAAGTGAAAACTCCAGTGAAGTCTAAGGAGCTTAGGGAAAATTTAGTCAAGCTAGAAGTAAAGTAACATTAAACATAACTTCAGATTTAAGTAGGGTTGTTTCTTGAATGAATGTGGAATGAACCTGATGAGAACACAGTGTGAACTGCATAAGGATGTCAAAGTTGATTGACCTTGGAACTTTCTAAATACAATAACGTGTTGCCTCTATTAAATTAACATTGCTTCTGTGCTGTGTGGCAGCATCTTTGCCATGGAAGGTCCTAACCACTGCATAGTAACTACATTCAGAGCCAGTGGTTAAACTCCTTTGTAAACTGACACAGCTGTGTGCTATTAATGTGTCTCAGAGCCATCCAAGCTCCAATATGTTCCTGGGGCTGAATTTCCCTCCTTCTCCTTCTCCCATCCTCGACAGACATGCCAACACACAAAACCAACCCACAAACCATGAATGAGATGTGCCTGAGTGCAAAGGCAAGGAAAAATGCACAGTCTGTGGCTGTGCTTCCAATAAGAGCCTATGTGCCTTGTCTTTGTGGTGGGGATAGGATATGTGTGGGGATAGGATACCTGATGTGTAAGAGTGTGCCCCTTGCTATCTTGGCTGTCCTGGCTCTGGGCGAGCTCAGAGTTCACGAAAATTTATATTTCATACAAACCTAATAGACGCTTGCTCCTGCTTACAGTCCAGCTCTTTAACCTAGAAGTATTTAGCCAAAAATTATTTAAAGACTAGATGATCTTTTGAGAATTCTGTGAAATGTATAATAGTTAAGGAAAACTTGTAAGATCCTGTAAGTAGTCTAACACAAATGAGCAGCTGAAAATTTTGTATGGTTGGACAGAACCTAGGCCCATCTTCTAAAAAAATTGCCTTTTGTTCCTAAGGTCTTGAAATTATGCTGGAACAAGTAAACCAAAATAAAATGCATAGTATTCTGAAATAGGGTGGACAGTTTAATTAAAAACAAATTAGCTAGTTGTTCCTTGGGAGATCTGAGCAACGTGAATAAGCCAGTTTGCTATGCAATAACAGTGAGTCTTAAATTCAAATTCCTCCTACAGCAAACATCCTTTCCACTCCAAAGGAAAGTACAGTTCTCACAAACAAAGCAAAACATGTTTTAACAAGATGAGTTTACTGGACAGAACTATTCCATAATTACCAGGCAGACGATAAGATTAGATCTCGTTATCTGGCATGACTGTTTCTTGAGAAGGTCTCTTTATGGGTGTGCAGTTAGTTCATGGCATGTTGATTTACTGAGTCACTCAGGTCCCACTAGTGTTCTGTTAGAAGAAGAAAAGCTACTTCTGTTGGTCAGGAACTGAGAGAAGTAATGCAAGAACTTTTATTTTCACTTTTCTGTGCTTCCTGTTTTCTTTTGCTTTTTCCAATCACCTCTGATGCCAACACTTGGTGGTAAACCAGGTAACAGTTAATGGAGCTTTAAAAGCTCTTTGTTTTCAACCTTTTTCTTCTCCCTAGTGTGATCTAGGTACTCAGGAAATGGAAAAAGATTTTCCAATAATGCAGCAGAGTTTTGCCCCTTAAATACCAGTTTTCTAGGGAGACAGTTATTTGTGCATCCCCACATGTTGAATGAGTATTTACATTTTTGAAATGTCATAGTATTTCAAGCCTTAATCTGAAAGAGCATCCTCTAATCGTAGGATTTTCTATAGGGACTTTGCTGCGACTCATTTATTGTGCTTAGGGTGGGCAACGATATCGGGAGGTTGGCCAGCAGTATGAATGTCTAAGATGAGAAAGAAAACAGCAAGACCCGAAAGACAATAATCTTTCAGAAATGTGTAGAAACATATGGCAGATTTTTAAATTTTTTTTTTATTCTCATAGTAACTTGGTGATTTTGGCACCCAGTACTCCCAGAGCTCCTCTCGGGGAATATTCACACCACCTCGTTTTAGGAATGCAAACAATGTCACCATGCTGGAATGCTGATCTCTGTATCCTTACTGCATGGACTGTCTGTGCCCCTCTCACAGAGAGGCAGAGAGAGAATAGCTGCCCCAGGGAGCTATTTAATGTGTCTCAGCTTAGGCTTCTGTTCCATGCCATGTCCTGGTCTTGCCTCACTCCTCACCTTTCCCCATCATCTATTAAGGCAGCCGAGGATGTTTGTTTTTTTTTTTAATGAGGAGCTGCATCTGTGAATTTGAAGCTTAGGCGGTAGGGAACACTCCTTTTCTGTGTGTTACAGCATCTCTCTGCAATGCAGCAGTTGGAATGGGAGGAAAGAATCACGTGTTAATTCCCTGTAAATAGAAATTTCTCTGAAACTGCTAAGGACGCCATAAATTTAGTACTTTGAGAAGAGATTAATAGGAAGAATAGGTTGGTGAATGCAAGTCAAAAGACCTATGAAAAATTCAGTTTTCATCACCAGAGAATTATTTGTAGCGTTGATCTGTTCACTTTGCATGTGGAGACCTGAGTGTTCTGCAATTTTCTCAAAGTAATTTTTCAATAATTGTCAGGGCAGTTACAGGAGAGAGGAAAATGTAAATAACATGCCAACATTGTATTAAATAACAGAAACAGACCGAAAGTTTAAGCTTACTTTTTTTGTTATGGAACGTTATATCATTTTTACCTAATTTAAAATGTCAGCTCAAAGCAATTTGCATGTTGGACTTGCATGTCCAAAAAGCTGTAAAAACCAATTTTGCAGTGAAGTTCACTTTTTCACTTCTTCCTAATTCAGGTAAAGCACAAAACATTCTTAACCCCATTTTATATATTTCTTGACTCCGTTTTTCAGTAATGATTCTTAATCATGAAATACAGATAAAGCAGAAGGGGTAGGAGGTGTATGTCTATACTTGAAGGTAGTATCTCTGGAAGAAGGTTGTGTTGATAATACAAATTTTGTTATATTTTGATTATGATTTGTTTATTCATTCTGAGACATTATTGTTCAACAAAATAAGCCATCTGTATGCAAACCTAAACTTCTGTTTTTAAGTAATGTACAGAGGAAAAAATCCAAATTCTATGGTCTGTGACAGGATTAAGATTTCACTGTCACTGGATTTATTTTTTTTTTGCTTTTATCACTTAAGTTCTTTTACATTCTGTTTTACATAAGATATTTGTGATTTGGCATTTGGAATTGTAATGATGATTTGGCAGGTAGGTTATATCCAGTTCTATGTATTTTTTTCATATCATTGTTGTAGATATTTTTTACTTTGAGAAGTATGGTTTGCAATCTCAGAAGAGGGGTTGGTGCAGCAGCTGTGTCCAGTTGTGTTTCAACTATTTGAGGAGACTGACTAGCTTTCATCTTTTGAATTTGAGAGCAGTTAAGTTGATTCTTAATTGGGTTTGGAGGTACCCACAGCTTTGGGAACAGAAGAATGTCCTGAATTTGCTGACAAACCGTGGATTTGGAAACATGAACCAAGAAATCATTTTTAGTTACTGAAAGGGAACTTCATGGAAAACATTGAAACTCTCACAAATCACTTCCTTACAGAAATATGAGAGAACGATAGGAAAAAAATCACAGCTTCCCTGCTTCTGAGAGGAGGGTGTTCAGGGATTGAGAGATGAGGAGATAGTCAGTACGTGTTTGACAGTCCCGGCTGTTTTAGAGACTTTTTCCTATCTTGCTGTGAAGAGGCTGCCAAGGATAACAGATTTAAGAATTATCCCCTTGTGAAGTGGTTATTTATTGTAGTCTTCATGCTTGCAATAGTAAATCATGCTTGGCAGCAGTAGAACATGAGAAACTCAATCCAAAGTCAATTAGCATGTTTTATTAGTATAGAATAAACCTCCAAGTTAATGGGAGTTACCTGTCATCGTTAAGAGCCTGATTTTCATCTGGGCTGTATCTGCACATTCAGCAGAAATTAGTGGTGTTTGAGGGTATTTAATGTCTTAGCAAAAGATGTGGGCAGAGAAGGGGGGTTGGACCTTCACCATGCTCTCCCTGCGTGCCTGAGCACAACTTGAAGGCAGAGAACCTGACCCTGAGAGTACATGGGATCAGCTCACACAGTCCTTTTTCATCTCAGATGCAGAAGTGTTTGCGTCTTGTTCTTCTCTGGTCCAAGGCTGTGTCAGTTCAGGGTCATCACAGGAAATAGATTTTGTGTTATGCTGCTGACTGAGGCCTTTTGCCCTCCTCCTTTATTCCCTCTGCCTTGTAGGTTGAGTGATATGTTTTAATATGTACTTCAGAAATGCAATGCTTTAAATTGTAGGTTGATATGCAAATAGTTAGCAGTGGCATACTTACCGTGGCATTTTCTTTTATTTTTTCTTTTCTAGTGTAAAACTCTCTCTGGCGTCTGTGACCACATTATTTCGCTCTCTTCTGATCCTCTGGTTTCCCAATCTGCTCACCTTGAAGTGATCCAGCTTACAAACATCAAGCCAAGTGAAGGGCTGGTAAGAAGTACGCAGTTAATCAAACCCATCATCCAGGATGAGGAAGTGATTTTTTAAAAAAATAAGTTATATATGTGGAAAAGAATAGGACATTCAGCCTTTCCTGTTTTAAAGTCTGAAAACAGATTGATTTTACAAGCTAGTTTGGTTGCTTATGCAGCTGGACCAAAAGGGAAGTGTTTTGTAAGGCTGACCAATGTACATGAAGAGTTAGCGAACAGGGAGAAATGAGTGAGAAGTTTTTGCCATTTATACCAGCTTCTGAAAAATGATTCAGATTGTTCTAGGATCTTGAAGTCTGAAAGGATTTAAATTACTAAGATCAACTCTACCAAGAAGTTTGCGGGGGCTTATGCACAAAACCTGTCAAATTCTGGAATATGCTTCATAGTATCTCTGGGATATAAAGCTCCTTTATGAGTTATTTAAGGGCTCTACAGCACTACTAAGAAGTAGCTTATTGGATTTTATTGCAAGAACTCTGCATGGTTAATTTTAGGGGCTTGAAAAGGCTCAAAGCAGCCATCCTGTGTTTGTCATCCAAGTGTTTACCATTGATTTTTGTTTACTCAAGTATCCAAAACACCCTGCATGGAAGAGACAACACTGGTAACAATTAGAGCTGTGTGACTTTACATCACTAATAATATCGCTTCCCACAATCCTTGGAGGTACTAGAAACTGATCAGGATACAGTTAACTATTTTTTGCCTAATAACATAACTTTTGCAACTTATGCCCAAATTTATTCTTGTTCCATTTTCTTGAATAAGAAGGACTTCTGCTCTACTATTTGCAACAGTTTTTGAAGTTTGGATGATGTAGTTTTGGAGAATATTTTGGTTTGTGGGTTGGTCGTTGTTGAGTTTTAAGGTTTGGTTTCATTTGTTTTTTTGACAAATTTGCTATGCCAAGGTATTTAGAGCAATTATACAGTAAAATAGTTTTCTATTCTTTAGGAAAGTCACAATTAAATTATGGGAAAACCCACAAACATTTGGATGAGTAAATATTTCCCCAAGCTATTTTTATTTGCTATTTGTTTTCTGTTCCTCCATTGGCTTTCTTTTTTATCTCTGAATCCGTTTCAGACCAGTCCTCCAGGATTACAGCTTTTCATAGATTCTCTCCTTCCTCTCTTTCTTCTGTAATTTTAACTCTTTCACCAGCTCACTGCAGTCAGCCTTTTGAAATCGTACCTTCTACTGTAATGCAGAAATCTTCCCCTTTCTCTCAATCACATTTTTTGGAGTTCTGTCCATTTTTATCTGAACTTCTATTTCTTTTCCTTTGTGTCTTGTGAGTTGTTGTTTTTTTCCACATTTAAATCTTTTTCTAGGGTGCTGTTAACCCCCAGTGAAAAATGTTGAGTGGTATTTTTGTAAATAAGAACGTGTCTCATGAGTCTTTTTTTTGATGAGATAGAGAATCTCTTTTTCCTCAGTGCCTCTGTTTTACACCCTCTGTCTGTCTTGTCTGTTTAAACTGGAAACTCGTCATCCAGGGCTTTTTTCTAACATAAGTTTGTGAACCAGCTGAAAAGGGTCTGTATGTTACTGAGAACTACCATGTCACTGTCATAAAAGAAATCATATACAGTTTTAAAAACCGAAAATACCAACTGTGCGGTATCCATGCCTTAGAAGGACAGAAAGCTATTTTGATATGGTCACATTTTTTCACCTTCATCCTTGCCTGCATGACACTATTCCTTTCCCTCTCTTGTGCTGTCTCCTCTAGACCGTGAGCTCTTCAGAGCAGGCACCAAGGATGACATATTTGCGTCATAAGAGTGAATGTCATACCTTTCAGTTTGTTCCAACAGTGCCAGTGAGGTTGCTCTTGGTGCTTTGTATGAAGGCTTTGCTTTTGGGTTGTTGGGCTTTTTTTTTTTTTGTTTGTTTGTTTGCTTTTTAAACTATTATCTTTCAATTAAGATACAGTGAATGCATATCAGTACCGCCCTGTTTAGCGCTAAGTGCGTCAGTTTACGAATCGATGGTGGAGTTTGGAGTTGTGAGTATCGTTTGCACATTGGGAGCGCTTCGATGAATGTGAAGCTCAACAGCTTCTGGACCTTCTTCCAGGATTTGTGCAACGATGGAGGTGGAAGAATGGATTATTGTTAACTTTCTTCTAGATTTTTGACCCACGTGAAAGTCCTGTTGCTGGCTCGACTGATCACTAAATAAAAATCTTCTGGATGGAAAGACTTCAAGCAGCGGGAAAAGGACAAGGACGGCTGCTAACTGGAAAAGTTTTTATGCCACCTAGCATAAACAGAATATCTAACATTATCTAAAAATAAAATATCTAGGAAGCTAAAGCAGACCAGGGAGAGAAAAAGGAAAGGAGAAGAGAAGGAAATAAAAAGTTTGGAAAATAATGCTATTTCCCTAAGCTCATATGGTAAATATATGAAGGAATTGAGAAAATGGTTGGAGTTTTTACAACAGATTGGAGCACTATGAGGATGTTTTAATCAACACAGATAGTTCCTTCACTATGTTTGATCTTTTATTGTGGAAATGTAAGTATCAGTAAGAGGTAAATGTAAACTGTCAGACCACACAGAAGGAACAGGTCAATATATTGCAAGGTTTACGGTGTCTTACAGATATTCAAACTAGCTAACACCTGTCAGAAGAAACAGACTAAATAACCTGGCAAGCAGAAAATCTTGTTAGGGTGTGATGTGGGGAAGCTCTTGTGTACTGGGTAAAGAAAAAATTTGGGGGAGAGGGGAGTCCTCTATCCCTGGTCTGTTACACAGTTTTTGTGACTGGCTGCATACACATGTTCTCCAGCTAGTGCTGCTATAGGAAGAGATGTGGCCTACAGAGACTGTGATGTAAGGGTGAAAAAGGAGTTGCCAGGGTAGAAAAATACTTGAAAAGCCCTAAAATGGATTAATGGGGTCAGCTTTGCAATCAGCAGCATACTCCCATGTGTAATCACTTATTTTTTATTTTTATTTTTTCTCTTTTGAGCACTTGGAAGTTGTTTCATCTGTGTCAGTAGGCAGAATTTAATTTTGTGTGTTTTTACACTACTTATGTTCGAGAAAGAGACAAAATTTACCAGCTTAGGTAGTATCTTTTGCCAGAAAACAGACTTAAAAATATTGCTGCTTGACTGAGAACAGTGTATTTAGCAAAACAGCAGAATACTGTACATCTTTTGTTAGACAAAAAGCAGGTAACCCAGTTTTTCTCGGGAGTTGTTCTTCAACAGTCCCTTTCTATTTTATCTTAATTTTAATATAGGATGGATGGATGGATGGATGGATAGACAGATAGATAGATAGATAGAAGTGCCAGGATGTGATAGATAGATAGATAGATAGATAGATAGATAGATAGATAGATAGATAGATAGAAGTGCCAGGATGTGGCAGCTAATCAGAGGTGCACTGCTGACTTCCTGGCTAAAAAGTATTTTCCAGGAATCCAATGTACTACTATTCCTGAGTTACTTTGCTTGAAATACTGGAGGAGCTAGGAAAGCTCTATCAACAGGGTTCTGGAGAACTGTTTGGGGTTAAAGAAACATGTGCAGCTTTGGTGGTCTCCATTAATATATATCACAGTGAAAGAGTGAAAATTCAGTTATGTCTGTAATAAAATGGAGATGATATTTTCCATTCAACAGTGCATAAAATGTGGTAAAGATATATCAAACTGTTTTCTTTCTTTAAAAAAATAAAAAAGATACAAAAAAATAATTAAAGAGGCACAAGGTCTCTTTACTGAATAATGGTTTCCATCAAGATAGAATGTAATAATTGGCTTGTAATTAGACTTCTACCCATAACTGATCAGGACAATTCAGATTTAATTAAGCATGATTTACCTGATCTTTAATGTAGGCATCCATTTGGTGCTGATTACTGTGGTGGTTACCTTGCGGTTATTTTAGTCTTTTTAACTGAATTACCTTTCCTTTATTTGACCTGACTGATACCTGTAAATTCAAAGGGACCATGGAGTTGTCTTTGGATATGCAAGATGTTTATCTGACAATTTGTTTCAGTATAAATGAGCAGTGCACACCCTAATCTTCTCTGTACTCTTGATCCATAAAAGAACTGTTGATACTGTGCAGCCACAGGGAGGTGAAGAGGGGAAAACTCATAAATGTCTGTGGTAATCTTGTTTCAATTCCAATTCATTCAATATGAACCAGAAACATTCCCTTCCCTGTATCATTTACCAAATATTATCCACTTAAAATGAGGACTAGTGGAATGTGGGTGAAAGAGTAGCTCATCTTTCTTGTTGCAAAATATTATCTCTCCCCATTTAAAAGTTACTTTGTAAACAGAATTATTTTGGCTCTTGAAAAAATATTGGCATGGTACTAAATAATTTTAGTACTTATCAATTTGGTACTTACTAATTTTGCACAAGTGGAATAAATGTAATATAATGTGGGGCGTTATTTGCAGCTTCTCTCTTCCCTCTCCTAATGTGTGCAAAATTTTGATCTTGTCTTTGAAGAAAATTCTGCAAAAGTTCTTTCTCCTCTTTTGCATTTTCAGAGTCATTTAAATTTGTCTAAAAGACTGGATTGGTGACTAGTGAAGACTAGTGAATTGCACTTTACCACAACAGCATACCTGGATGACCTTCAGAATAATATTTTCATCAAAATTAAACACTGTGTAACCATTGTGTGAGACTCTGTCCTCAGCTTTCACACTGATATTTTAAGTTGAAAACAATAATATCACTGTCAATAAAAACAAAGACATGACTTTCTTCAGAAATTGCTCTGTGTGGGGACCTGTCTTATAGTTCCTGTCACCATCAAGTCACCGTGATTTCAGCTCTTAGCCTGTCGAAGGGCATATAGTCAAGTCACTTAGATCCAGATCCTGAGAAAGATTTAGGTTTTTGGTGGTTCGAGTGTACGTATGAGTGGCAAATAACAGATAACAACATATCTCAGCCTCTTGTGTGGCTCATTACTCTGTCTGTAAAATGTATGTGTGTTTCCCTACCTCACAGGGGTGTTGTGAGGAGAAATGTATAAGGAATTGCCGTTCTATATTTGAGATGATTGAGTTAAACAGGAAGCTATCTACATGGAGCCAATCAATGAAAAAATTGCTGGAGGTGCATAGAGGATCTTGAATTTGAAGGATGATGCTAGAGGTTTCTGTCTGTGTGTAGATTTTTGCTTTATTCTCCTCTGGCTGTGGCAGCCCAACATGACAGCTGAATTTGATGCCATTAATGCTATGTACTGTGCAGAGCAAAACAGGAGTTCAGTTTTGAGTCCCCTCTCCTGAGAAACTCATAAAGTGTATTTTTTCTTACTGGAGATATCATCCACTTTATTAAATGGGGGGTACTTCCTTGTTTTCACTACCAAAATGTCTTCGAGGTCTGGTCCCAAATTGGATAAGTCCAACCTCATACGATACACCTTCTTGGCCTCTTTACCGTATTCAATCACCAATGAGTGCACGCTGTTCCACAGCTAGTCCCAGACTTCTTTTTGGCACTCTGATTAAGAGGAGGATAGGTTATGGAAAGAATATTTACTCGAACGCTCAGTCTTTATCTGCTTGACGGAAAAGAAATTCCTCAGATGTTGAATGCTACATGTCTCCTTTTTTCCTTCTTTCATTGCTTTGCTGGATGCTGTTAAAATGTTTGAATTATAACTTGATGAAAAAACAGATTTGACACACTGTCTCAGACTACCTATGCAGGAACTTCTGCCTGTTCATAAACTATCCCTCCTCTTCCATATTTTTTTTCAAGTGGGGTAGCTAACAAAGTAGACGTATGAGTTTTCATCACTGAATTTTATAGGTGAACTGTTCACTGACGTTAACTGAGGCTATCGGAAGCTCTTAGAGCCGCTTTGCAGGCACACTTCAGAGCACTGGTTATCAGCTTGAAAGTGATGTTTGCAGCATTGCCTACCAGAGATTCCAGATCTTTTGAAGTCTTCTGTAGCTTCGAAAGCGAAATGGAAATATTTATCCTCCTGATGCAATTTGTAATTCTGTGGGTTTTTTTTTTTATAATCTGGTGTTGTTATATTTGTAGTTAGAGTGTATTAAAAAAGTGGGAGTGTTTATGGAGACGACTGTGTTTTTAGTTTGCTATTACTAATTAGGGCCAGAATCGTTTGGACTGTTGTTCTCGAAGTGTATCAAAAAGCACTTTCCAATCCAGAGACAAATTCCTCATGGCATGTATTAAAAGTCCACAAATCTTTTTTTTTAAAAAAAAAAAAGGCAAAAAAGCAAAAAAAAAAAACAACCTTTTTCTTTTAGAGATGTGCAAGTTATATTTGGATGGTGATGGTTTGTGAAACACTTTAAAAATTCTTTCCCATGATGTCTTTTTCTTAGGGTATGTACATTAAATCAACATATGATGGTCTCCATGTAATTACTGGAACAACAGAAAATGTAAGTATTGTTAATACTGTATGTTCAGACCTGGAAGCCTTTTTGACCTTACCTGTGGTTTATGCTTTCCCTTTGCTATAGACTACATTTTGCTTGCAAAAGTGTGCTGGTTGGCTGTTGAGGACCAAGAGCATGCTGGACAGCAGAAATGCTTGTGCTTGTTTAGCTCAGAATTAAGAGAGTTGTGTCCAGTTGAGGACCAGGAGGATCAGTTTTGATTTGTTATTGCAAGATGCCTAAAATACTGCAGTTGATCAAGATAGGAACTAGCTGTCTTGGAGTTACCTTGCTCCGTGTGAATGAAAGATAAATGTCTTTATTATATATAGGCTGATATGCTGGAGTTTGCTGTAGCATTAGACAAACAGCTTTTATATTTTCCATCTACCGAACTTAATGTTGTGATAAATAAATGCATGGAAATGAGGACATCCCTTCACATTGACAAATAACCATATAGTTCTGCATGAACTTCTGAGTAATGCGTATAGAAAGGAACAGCTATTACTGGTGTACTAATTCTTGCTGAAGGTATTAAACAGCAAGGAAAACATAACAGACTACTTTTCAAATGCCTTTGAAATATGACCTCCTTTGCTTGTACACCTTATTTAGAGAACTGACTACTGGAAGTGAGCAAAATGTTCATTTTCATCCATAATCTTCAATAAACGTGGAACAAGCACTAAACAACACTGAACTGTTCCATAATGGTTTATGCAATTCCTGTCAAAGAGTTTGATGGCATTTTGTTACAAGGAAGCTGTCAGAAATATTTGTTTTATCTTGCCACTGTGTCATACTGTGGAAAGTACAAACTACCTACATGGTATTTACAGCTGCTGCATCTGATTTTCAGTGAAGTTCTGTTAATATCTCAATAAAATAGGGATATTGTTTTCATCCCTTTGTAGGAGCTGCAATCTGATAGCTTTCTTCCTTTCGTGTTCTTCTGCTGTGGGCAGGATATCCATGGGTTATACCCGATACATAATACCTATTGTGGAACCTATGTGGATGCCACCTGTCTTAGAATAAAGAAAATGTAAGGAATTTCAACCTTGAAATAGGTTGAATACACCTGCAACTACAGATAGAATCAGTGAAATTAGAAAACCTAAACAAAACCAACAGACCGGTAGCTGAGTTTAATCTGGAAAATATATGAAAGGCAGAGGATGTTTTTTACAGTTTAATTTCTCTCAGATTAAAAAGGAACCATTTCTTTCCATGACTTAGTAATATTGGATTTAATTTCCCAGGGCAAAGATAAAAATAAAAATAAAATCTTAATGCATTCCCCCAGAACTCTTATCTTTTGTGATTCATGAGTATAATTTAAAGCCACATCAGGAAGCTGAAGTTGTGATGACTTTTCTGCTGTCGTTACTGCCTCTTTCACTCACTGTAACACCCTGGAGGTGCTCACAGCAGACTGTGAAGCTGCAGTCTGCTAT